AGATAGTCATCGTCTTGCATTCAATATCAATTAATAGAATTGTAAGTATAGATTTCTTTATAGTTAGTGAGATAGATAAGGTATGAGTGAGAGTGAGGATAGGGCTACTCTAAGATAAGTGAGATAGAGTTATGGGTGTTAGTTAGATCGTCTTCCCAGGTTAGACGTTAAACACTGGCCAGGAACTATCTTGGTGTCCGTGGTACACGACCAGGCTTATTCAGACTCATTGACATATCTCTCACGGGGAGGGTATGAATGATATGAGTCTGTGCGTGCATGAGCGTTACGCTCGCCACGGCTCCACCAGGATGGTTCCTGGTCGCGCGCGCGCGAATAGAATAAGCCATTCATTTCATCAATTCAATGTGATTTATTTGAAACGAAAGGAACGCAAAAAAAAATCTATCACGACGAGTCTATTCGATTGAAAAACGTTGAACACGATGATTCGACCGATCGACGACATAGAGATTGCCATGTTGATCGAAGGACAAACCACGGAGATAGTTGAACTGATTTGCTTCTTCTCCTTTACCATTTCCACCCACAATGACAGTGCCCTGTTTCGCTCCTTTAGGCCAACGCATTACTCGATGATTCCCTTGGTCTGCCACATAGATGGTACCCACTGTATCGACGAACAGTCCAAAAGGATAATACAACTGTGCCAGAGTATTCCCTTCGCCTTGACCTCCAGCGACGATAATTCCTTCTTTTGCACCTTTATTCCATTTCATTACACGATCATTGTTGTTGTCTGACACGTAGACAGTCTGTTGTTGATCGACAAAGATGTATCTCGGTTCGTTGAATTGATTGAGACTAGCACCTTTGCCATTGCCACCAGCCACAAGAGTTCCATTCTTGTCTCCTATTTGATATCGTCTTACTTCATGTTTGTTGGGATCAGAGATGTAGAGATATGTCTGATCATCCATGGCCAATCCTCGACAACGGATGTTGTCGATGAGGATTTCTCCTTGAGTTGTACCACTACGACGAGACCATCGAACGACTCGTCGATTCCCCCAATCACAAATAATGAGACTATCCGTCTCTTTGTCAATCAACACATTGGTTGGTTCATTCAATTGATCCAATCGATTTCCTTGGCCATTGTTACCAGCTACTACTTGTCCATTCGTATCACCCATCTTCCATTGGATGATACGATGATTGTTGTAGTCAGCGATGATTATCGTTTGATCATCATCAACGAAGAGACCCTCAGGCCAGTAGAGTTGATTGGTGGCACTGCCTGGTCCATGACCTCCAGCAACAGTGACTCCATTCTGTTTCCATCGGGCATTGGCTGCAATATTGAGAATTACTACAATGAGCGAAAAAAAAGAAATCGTCGTTGTTGAAGGAATTCCGTCTCCCGTGAGAGCAAGCGCTACAAAATATGACATTCATCTTTGAGAATGCTCATTCCACAGATAAAAATTCAGAAGTCTTTTCCTAGTTTCTTATGAGAAATAAGGATTTGGTAACGATTCTTACGTTTATGTTACTTCTAGTTCTTGCCAAGATCTTTTTGATCATAAAAACAACACCTGGAGATTGCTGTAAGGAGGTTCTCGAAGAAAGAGTTATACTAATTCCATGTAAGTTTTTGATAGAAAAACATAAGGATCTGAGGATTTTTTTCAGAATTGCAAGAATTCAGAATCTTTTTGGCAGAATGATCATTTATATGAACATCAGAGAAGATTCTATCTGTATCTTGTGAGAAAAATATCGAATCGTTGAACAACAAAATATCAAACCTAATCCCTATGTTTTTTAGGAAACCTTAAGGATACATGATTTTTCTGTATGATGAATGTAGATCTGCCGAAGAATCTCCTAAGTATTTGCATAGGCTTTTGATAAGTTATGTGAAGCTGTTCGAAGAACAACCGTGATGTACTCTGAGTAAGATCATGAGAAGGTTTGGATACAGGCGAAGCTGAACAAAGTTGAGAGGCTTCCATGCGAATCTATTTAATCTGAGAGGGCTTCTACTTTGGGAAATACTGAAAAGATGGATGCCAATCCGAACGGAGTTCTCCAGTGACAAACATTGGGATCCATGGATTTTATGGGCTTTGAAAATCTAAAAATAATGAGTATCTTCTATGAGGATCATGCTACAATCCTTATGTAATACTTGTTCTGAGAAGTCTTCTGTAAGCTCGCATGTTATGGATATGTTCAGGAGGATCTGAAGAGTAAGTGTTTTGAAATGGTTGATATCAGAGTGAAAATGGAGTGGGAACAGGACAGAATGGAGGTGCCTATCTTTAAATTTTATGAGAAAGTTTATAAAGCAATAAATTAATATGCTACTAATTTATATCAATCGTAGATTTAATTGTGTTCAAAATCTTATGTGTATTTAACTCTCGGATGCCCAAGCTAATTTTTGGAGATAACATGAAAACATGTGTTCATATTTCTATGATTTTGATTGCTGAACTGGTATTCTTGCCCAAGTTAGATTGTTTTCCTCTTCAGTCTTGTAAAGTAATTATTAGAATTATAGTTTTCCTTTATTTAGAACAGTAAATA